TTTTTGGGTTCATTGAGAACATGGTTGTTGTTCAATAATAAAATTATTCCTCAAAAATACAACTTGCCTAATAATTCTGCACTCCCTGTAGTTGTCCAGGTTTGTAGGAACTGTTTTATGGAAATGAGCAGGTCAGGCTAAGACGCTCTATAAAGAAGCCCTGCCAGGGCCTCCTTTCTTTTCTTAATGGGTGCTGCTTGGTTAACAAAGCATTTTGGTTTTTGGTGTTGGCACATGCTCACTCATACACCAACGCTTTCAGACATGGCATGCATATGCTGACAATTACTCAAGCTTTTTTTAAATTTCTTTATTTCATGAAAGTATTTAACAACCTCCCAAGTCTACATATGGCCTCACACCTCATTGACATATACTTTGAGCCAGGCTGTGACGCCTTAGTGTTAATCTGCTGCTAAGGGTTTTTTTTTTTTACACTGCTGTAATTGCAGCTACTAGAGCAGCAAACTGATCTGGGTGTTTATCACCAAAGATAAATCAATAAAATTAATTGCTTTTCAATCTGGCAATAAACTACAGGGATTTCACCACAGCGCCTACATTAACCTTTAATGTTGAAATGTATCCACTTTAAAGCTTCAGAGCGCCAATGTGCAGCTGTCACTTTAAAAATAAACTCCAATACTGAGAATTAGCGATAAAATAATGATCTACAAATAATTACTTTCCACTTTGCAGGTTAAATCCTAAGAGCAATGATTTTCTGCAGTATTCATTTCCTATTCATTTCCTATGTTATTGCAACAGTGTTCTGTTTCTTATATTCTTTATTCATTTGTAATCCCTGTTTCATCATCATCTGATAACATCAACGATTGGAGTAGGCAGCGCTCAGAGATCATTTTGTGCCCCTTTTTGTGTGAGTGCACACAAAGTCTGAATCAGAAAACCTGGCTGGTAACCACACTTGTGACTGTGATTATCTTCAGCTGGGATTTGTAAAGCCAGCCGAAGTCAAAGGACCGGCTGTGTTGAAGCTCCTTTGCAGTAAACCCCTCAGGCCTGTGATAAAAATGAACTTTGCATCTGGTACAAGTTATTCTACTGTGGATGGATAATTTCAACACTTTGAGCCAACATACTGAACTAAAATTTAAACAAAAATGCAGCAATACTAGATGAAGCAGTTGACATTTAATTTTACAAGCTTTTTGGCTGTTTTATTACTGGGACACATGTTTGGGCATCTGAGGGATGTAGATTAGATAACCAAATACCATATGCTGGGTCAAGTTCTAAACATTTTTTCCAACACATTCACACATGACACTGTAATCTGCAGGCCACACAGATCTTAAAGATGAATGCAGCACTATTACTTCAGCAGATAAAAGAAGCATATGTTAGACGTCTGCAGCTGTGACAAATATCTACAGTTTGTTTTTATCTCCATTTTTCTTGTGACTCTTCACTGAAAAACACAAAGTGTCCCATTTATCATTCAGTCTCACTGTCCAGACTCTGAATCCGAGTCACTGTAGTCTGCCACCAGAGATGTGACTCCTCCTGAGCATTTACTCCGGTCCTCCACCTTTCCATTTGTCAGTTTTTTGTCTGCTTCCTCTGTAGGTCTGATATGTACTTCCTTGAAACCATCACCATTTGTCTCATTCTGAACCATTTGTTCCGATACTATACATGGGGTTTCCACTGTGGGTGTGGCCAATGAAATGTCCCCATCGCTTGTGCTGACATCATGGTGTGACTTTCTGCGGGTGATGGTGGCACACTGTTCAGTCTTGTTTCCAGACTGTGTTGTCCGTTTGCGGATTAAAGGACTGTGTGAGGAACCCAGGGCTTTGGCCACAGCTATTTCTTTCCCTTGGAGTCCAAGCTTATGGAGCAGGCTGCCTGCAGCACCACCTGGTGGTGTTGACGCAGAGTTAAACCATGAACGAGAGGCGATCTCCTTCCTTTTGCTCTGCTGTTTGTCCTCATATGCTAATCGGAAATGAGGAGAAAATAATGCAGAAATTGTAAAGGATTTCAGACATTTTCAAAGTGAGACGGTAAATAATTCACTATACGCTCTTTAAATTTATATACTTGTGACAAAATATGTTGCTTACAGTCAGGTGCCTGGTAGGTAAGTAGTGCTGCCAGTTTCTTATCCTCCTCCTTCTCTGGTAATAGTGGGATGGATAAGTTGGTTCTCATCCTCACCGCATTATCCTTCTCCTCCTGATCAGCCAGAACTTTCTTCTCTTCCTATACAGCCAAGCAACACGACAAGGAAGACATTGTATGAAACTTTTAATTTTGTCATTAAAATCCAGAGCTTGAAGGAAAATTTGAAAACAAAATCCACTCACACAGGCCTAGAGACTAGGTAGTAGCTGCCTGGCAACCACCAAATACAGGAATGTGTATTCCCTGACCAGCTGAGAGTACTATAGGTTGACTCCTGTTGGTCTGTGCAACACCGTACACTTCAAACAAGTGTAAGCTGTTGCACTGAAAACCTGTCTGTGATTACTTCAGTCAGTAGCAGATTGCCACAGTCAGCCATGGTTTATAGGAAAGGCGCAGACTTATGTATAAGCATTCGCCAACTAGCAGTAGTAAAACACCCCAAAGTGTCATGCAAACTGGAAATGAAGCTTGTTTACCTTTACAGTAAAAGTTGTGTCCTTTGAAACATGCTGGCTTCAGCAGTGGGGCACAAATTTTGTTTTAACAATGAAAACTGTCAATTTCCAAGTTCTGTGGGACAGTGGGCAATCCTACAAACTATGAGCACTAAAGTTTGTACAGCACCCGCTTTCTGGACAACTTTACAGTGACAGCCAGAAACCCACAGCAACCAGCCAGAGAACGAACATTTTGGTTCTGATGTCCAGAGGCTGCCTGGTGGGGTCGCTGACAGACGTCTAGGCCCGTGATAACACAAAGGTATGTAAAAGGATGAGTAAAAGACCATTACAGAGAGTGTTGAGGAAAATGCAGTTACATGCATATTTTATTTTCACTAGCAGTAGTTTAGGTCTTTAATGTGAATATCAGTTCACAGACACGTGACTAAAATAAATGAAGAAAATGCTTGATTTTTTTGAAAACACACAAAAGAAAATATGAAAAGTGCCGCTGTAGGGGGCAACAAGATTTAGCTTTTCATTTGAAACATGCTATATTCTATGCATTATAAATTAACACAGCAGACATTAAAGTTTTACTGGCATGTGTTGTATTTTTCTTTTGAAATGTGTAATGACTGAGTGAAAATATAATAATAATTTACAATGGTGTACTTTATTTTATAATGTCTTAATGTTTTCTGCAAGCAAAGGGTGTCATTCCAGCCACCGACCTTAATTTTAGGCCTGAGTGAAACATTTAGAAAATGTTACTTCTGAATGTCTAAGCAAATGAGAAAAGTAGTATTACTGCAATGGCCAAAGGGATGTCAATATCTTACTCTGAATTTCCTACGGAGGGTGCTGTTGAGCTGGAAGTCATCCTTCTTCCCGGCCTGATAGTCCTGGATCTCTGACAGAGACGGCAGAGCCTTTTTTAGCTTCTCCTTGTCTTTCCCACCGTGGTCCAGTTTGTACATGGCATCCGTCTCCAGCTTCTCCTTCTCTGCCCGCTCTGTCCAAAGAGGAACAAGGAAAGTTACATTGTATCGAGTAGCAACAAACAAGCACTTTTTTTGTAAAAATGACATCAGATTACATCAAGTATTCAAACAACCATTTGTGGAGATGTCTTTTGATGTGATATGTGCTGTCTATATGATTCTGTCCAACACAGAAAAATGATTATATCATGGTGCCCATTTTGTGCATAATATTTACACACAGTGCAGGTAAGAGCACTGACCAAACCATTTGTTTGTTTGTAAAAGCCACAACTGTGTTACCTGTAGTGAGAATCTGTTCATTCTCAGCCATGTCCCAGCGCTCCTCCTTCCTGCGAGCCCCGCTTACTATGACATAGTCACAAGTGGCTGGGTCTGTCTGCATCTCAATGTAGTTCACACAGAGATGGCACTTCATCCGAAATCTGGTTAAGGAAACAAGATTTTAATTCGAGGACAGCTTCAAGATGAATTTTACTGTGATACTGTAAAGTGCAGCATACAAACACACACGTTTATAGTTCTGATTTAAAGTTTGCACAACAGCTAAAGCTTTTTCTTTTAACAGCTGACCTGATCCCCCGTTTACCTGTAAATTGGCGTGGTGTAATAGTTCCCCACTTTCTTCTTCTCCGCATTGTACCGAACCCCTGTGCAAACAACACATCAGTGTTGTGGAAATGAAAAGCAGGACTGATTGTACCTCAAAAAAAATTATACAATCTTATCATTCATTCATTCCAAACTTACCCATGCCAATGTGATTTTTGCAGCCATCACACCAGATGTTGTAAGGCATCTCAAACCTTGATGGAACCAAAATAGATCATTAAAACATGTAATTTGGGTGAGTTTTAAAGAAAAACCCTTATATACAAAAGCTCCAGGTTCTGTTCAATGTTTCTGCCATTAAAAGGAAACGCTTTATTTTAATAGATTCACCATTTGGCTATTTTCTGTAATTTAACACAAAAATAATAAAAAAAAGTTATTATAAAACAATAAAACAATAAAACTAAATCCATACAATTCTAGACAGAAAAAAGCTAAAACTGGAGAAAAAGCCAAACAAAAATGAATACTAATCAAAAACACACAAAACTCTAATAACTATATAATACACATATACACGTACATGTATCATTTTTCTTATTTTTAATCATATGGTGATGGTGGTGGTAGAATATCATTCATGAAGCCACAGCTATACTGTGGCGTCTGTCATTTGAATGTACAAATATTTTTGTGGACGGTAACTCATACAAGACTGAAAATGTAATAATTTCCCATCTCCGGCCTCAGTTCATTACTACTCTACACGTGTGCACTAACCTGATAATGAGGATGCCCTGGGACAGTTTCCGGGCTCTCTCACGCAGGGCGTGGGTCTTATGGTAGCCGTTGAGGGATCCATGCTAAAGATAACGAATGATAAAAATGTAAGCCGTGCAAAAAAGTAAAATTAAAACAACTGACACCCATAAAGTTTGTGTGATCTAACATACCTTGGCCGGATCAAAATCTGGAGGATAATACTTGTTTGTTCCCTTTCTTTCACCCTGTCAAGAAAACAATGCAGAAGACTTTATTAATAAAGAATACAAACTATTATTCTTTAGCTAGTATTTCCAATTGTGTGCATCCCTGGAAACAGCTGAATTAAAGCTTACCATTGTGACAACTGGAACGCTGCCCCAGGAGTGAACTCACTCCTTTTCACCTGACAAAAAAAGAAGGTCAGTCATTGACACCACACTGTAACAGTAAGGTTAATGTACCTTTCATTGTAGCAATTTAAGCGCCCTCCTTAATTATTTTTAAGAATATTTGAAAAGTATCCTGTAAGTTAGGAAACATACTGTTTTCGCAAGGAACACATAGCTTTGCATATGTTATCATAGTTTCACTCCCCGGGTATCTTCTAAACCACAGACAGCATAAAACACCGCACCTCGCTACCTAATATTTCAAAAGCTGGTGAAACTGATTTCATCTGAAAGCACGTTGAAACAAATAGCCCAGTAATCTTTTAACAAACAGCTAAAGACAAAATGAAGCTCTGATTCGGATGTATAACAAAAGAAACCAACTGTCTTTGAAGCGCAAAACGTCGAGATTAGTTTGTTAAAGAGCACGTGAACACTGAAAGCATTTCTGTTACACTAGTGTCGTGTACATTAAACACTATATCAAAAGGTATTTTGACAAATTGCTGGAGAGGATGAGCTATCGCAAGCTGGCCGAAGGCTACGTAGCCTTAGCAACGCTAGCTTGCTACTTAATGTTAGCGCCTGCTACTAGCGTGAATGAGAAGAACGTGAACACAAAAACATCCATAAATAAAAAATCACTGCAGTGACATTTGAAAGATCCAACAGCTGTGATTACTCGTGGACGAAAATCTAAGGTATACTCACAAAAAACCTTGGAACTGCCGTTTGTACTGCTGCTGCACAACAACAACACCAGAGGGTTGATGGGTAATGAAGACGTAATTTCCTGGCATCGGAAGTGGCGTCACGTCGAAAAGCCCTCTGGGAAGCGCCGGTATCGGGAGAAAAAACGTGTTTTTGAGCGAGCTAAAAACAATTCACCTGTCAATGCCGCAGAAATGGAAGCGAAAGTGGAGTCATACAAACGTTATATCTGTTCGTTTAGCGGCTGCTCGGCTGCCTACAACAAACAGTGGAAACTGGACGCTCACTTGTGTAAGCACACAGGGGTGAAGCCGTACTCGTGCGAGCGCGACGGCTGCAGTAAGGCGTTCTGTAGTAAGTACCACCTAGCGAGGCACGAGCTCAGTCACAGCGGAGAGAAGCCTTTCCGGTGCACCGTGGACGGCTGCGCGGAGGCCTTCACCACCAACGCAAACCGGGCCCGACACATCGGCCGCATCCACTGCCTGGAGCCGAGGAAATACGTCTGCATGTTTGAGGGCTGCGGCCTCGAGTTCAAGAAGAACAAACAGCTCAAATCTCACATGTGTGAGCAGCACACTCAGCTGCCCCCTTATCAGTGCACTTACGAAGGCTGCCAGATGCGATTCAGCTTCCCCAGCAAACTGAAGCGTCACGAGAAGGTCCACAGAGGGTACCCCTGCAAAGAGGAGAGCTGTGTCTTCACGGGGAAGACCTGGACCGAGTACTTGAAGCACAGGAAGGAGCAGCATAGAGTCACCCTGAAGTGTGAGCAGTGTAGCCGAGTGTTCAGGGACACCTGGTTTCTGCAGCAGCATCAGCACATCCACTCTGAAATGAGAGTGGTCCTCAAATGTCCCAGGGATACCTGTGACAGGTCGTTCACCACTGCCTTCAACCTACAGAGCCACATCAGCTCCTTCCACGAGGAGCACCGACCCTTCGTCTGCACCCATGCCGGCTGTGGGAAGACGTTCGCCATGAACCAGAGCCTCCAGCGTCACAGCGTCGTCCACGACCCACAGAGGAAGAAGCTGAAGAAGCCAAGAGCCAAAAGATCTCTTGCTTCGAGGTTAAGCGGTTACTGTGAAACAAAGAGAGTGGTCTACAAAATGCAACCCGAACATGCAGCGCATAAACAGTCTTCACAAGAGAAAGCTGACCAGCCTGGCCCTTTTGAGCTGGTGTCTCTCCTACAGGACGCATCCTTGCTGTGCAGCCCTGCTGTGGACAGGCAGGGACTTACAAACACCCTGGCTACACCATTATCAGTGTAGCGTCAAATGAAGAGGAGCACCCCAGTTTTGTGTGGACAGCAGGCACTTTAACAGAGCATTTATAATATATATTATTTGTGACATGGTTGTTGGGAGTCTTGGTGTTGAACACTGGTCATTGGTTGATTCATTATAATTTACAGTCTTTCTGAAAGGGAATTCAGAATGAAGAAGTGGAACGTGATCCTGGTTGTCTGTCCTCTGGGTTATGTCCGCTGCAGTGTTTCATTGTAGAAAAACATTACACTGTTTTGTTTTTCCCCAGAGCCATTCAGTTAATTATGTTTGGTGTTTGTATTTAAGAAAATATATTTTTTTTACTGTATAAAACTTGAAAAAATGTGATGGGTGTTTTGTTACTACATAATGACAGTATTTCAATAAAACCTGTGGAATGTATTTGTTTTTCTTGAGTGCTCTTATATGTTCATTTAAATAAGTGGGTCATAATATAACCTGTCCTGGAGTTCAGTAAAACTAAAATGCAGAGCTCGGTGTTGACATTTATCTGTTGGTAATTCAAGTCTTAAGACTAATAATAAAACCGTCTTCAAATCCTTTGAACTCAGGGTTCGTACGGGTGCTTGAAATCCTTGAAAATGCTTGAATTTTAATGTTGTCTTTTCAAGGTTTGAAAAGTGCTTGAATTTCAGATGTGGAAAAATGTGCCGTGTTGACCAATCAAAAATGATATGGCAACATGTGGCATCTGGTTGTTTGGGAAGAGGGGGAAGTTTTAGGAGTGACCGGCGAGAGAGAGAGCAAGAGTTTTGATACGTGAGAGATTTGTGACGTTTACCGTGTTTGGAGTCTCTTTTAGTGTGTTGTCTTGTGTGGTTAGTGTGTAGTGTAGTCGTCGTTTTGTTTTGTGTGTCAGTTCTACTAGTGAACGTCACAGTTGCTGCCTTAAAGCCACCAAAGGCAGATTGCAGTGTAAACGCTGAGTGACACACCTGCTGTCAGACCTGCAGGTTTATCCCTGTGCTGTTCTCATCTGTGTTATAGTGGACACAGACTATTTTTTTGGAGTTGCATAAATAATTTGTGTGCCTTCTTCTTTGATGTAGAACACCTGATTGCTCTGTAAATAGTTTTAAATGGTTATATAAAAAACGTCTGAGCCTTGGCTGCATTTTTAGGTAAATAGTACCATATAACTTTGTTGTTTGCATTTTTTAAAAATGTACAGTTTCTATTTGCATTTCAAGTTATGAAAATGATTCGTTAAACATGCTTGTGGTTTTTACAGTCAAAAATATCACTTTCTACTCATGTTTTATGCACAATATTTACATATTTACAGTATGTCAAAATGAGTAAATAACAGATTGGCAAGATAAACAGTTTTTAAAGGTGAAATATAGAGGCCAAAAGTAGTCAGAAACGTCAGAAACGGCCAATTATTCCCTGGACCCCAGAGGGTTAGACGCTAAAAGCAAAGTTGTCACCAAGTACTTTTTATATTTGTGTGTATTGCAGCTTTTTTGAGTATTAACTTGGTGCCTTTGGGTGAAATAATGGTAATATGAGGGACCGATCCATATGGTCACAAAGAATAGCCACTTGTTTCTGTGCTACCAAAGTTTCGTTCAAACTGTTTATCGTCTGCACCGACACATTAAACTACTTAAACATTATAAATGTCTTCAAGCTCACACTGAGGCCTGTGGGGCACTATCAGCCGCTCAGACAGTTCACACATTTATGTGTGTTTGTATATGAATATTTCATACTTTAAGGCTGCCTGTTTATTTAAGGGAGATGAACAAAATACATTAGAATTCTACATAATAATATGACAGATGATAAATTCAATAGATTTTAAGTAGATGCTTGTGCATTCTTAAAGTCTTATATGTTGAATTGAACTATGTGATGTGTTCAAAGCCTCCCAGTCAGTGCTGTTCTCCATGCCTGTCTGACTGTACATGATGTTATTAGCACAAACACTTTAAAGGTGATCATTTAGGACTTCAGCAATAATACAGACAGCAATGTAGTTACCGTAGCAATAAAACAGTTTTATTGGGAATTAACTTAAAAAACAAACAAACATCTGTCTCCTATTTTCTGTCACACAGGAAAGAAGCATCAATATCTGATGAGAAGACTTATTTATTTCTTTTTGGGGGGTTTTTCAACAGGAGAAGAATATCTAACAAGTTGATTTGTTCACATCTTAATTTTTAAGTGAAATGTGCATTTTGAGTTTATACACTATAAGGCGCCCGTCCTTTTGCAGTATTTTTGTGTGGTGTGTTTTTCTGTCTTAACAAAAGGGGATCAAAGGTATTTAAGTTTGTTTTAATTTTCACATGGTCTTACAGAAGTGATGTGAATTGAAACATGCACTTTTTTGAGGGGGGGGGTGCTGGAAAAAAGCTTGAAAAGGGACCTTGAAAGTGCTTAAATATGTACTTGAATTTCACCCTGTGAACTGCAGCATAATCTAAAACACTAATTTTTTCACAGTGATGATAACAGTGGTATTTATTTGGAAATAATGTCTTGCTGTTTAGCATTTTTGTTCACATCCCAGTCTTTAAAGAGTTTAGGAATGAAAACGAAACTTTCACCCTGACACTACATGGCTAAACATAACAATAAAAACATCTGTACATGCCTGTTTATAAAATACAATAAATGAATTATATTCTGTTTTGCTTTAGAAGTGTTTCTAAGTTTCAGGTGTGTGCAGGTATCCCAGAAGTCTTAAAAATATATTAATTACATCTAATAATAAAAAGCCTTGAGTACTAATTTGTTTAAAAGGCTTTGCATCGTGATGCAACTTTGGTGCTCTACAGTTCCAGCTTTTTTTTCTATGTGAAAACCGATTACATTCTCTAACTTCAAAGTCTAAAAACCAGCTTAAAGATGGTAAAGTGCCACAGAAAAGGCCTTGAGGATGATGAAGATCTTGCTCACCGACCTGAATGTCAGTCTGCAGAAACAGAAGAAGCGAGATTAACAATAAATTGAGAAAATCTCTGAAGTCAGTCTCTGTATTTTTAAGGTGTTTTAGAGTCAGACTCAGACAACAGCATAATAATATGGACAACTTTGGTATGTTGGTATTCAAAGGGGTCTTCAGTTGAACTTTTGGCTACTAATAGACACCCCGAAAATGTTGAAAAACAGCAGTATCCTACACCCTGTGTTCAGTATGAACTTTATCTCACCCCATTCATCACGTTTGGGAAAACTGGATGAGTGTTTGGACAGGAGCAGATATCTGCAGCCAGGTTCCAAAATCTAAGAGCAGATCAATGCCAATGATAATGGAACTGCCTGCCTGTCTTGTCACGTACAGGTGAAATGTCACTGTGTCATCATGGTCTAGGAGTTTTCAGCTGATGCCAACAACCTTGCACAGCCTCAATCACAGGAGAGGTGTGTGTGTGTGTGTGTGTGTGTGTGTGTGTGTGTGTGTGTGTGTGTGTGTGTGTGTGTGTGTGTGTGTGTGTGTGTGAAATCACCTGCTGCTCAGATTAGCTGGAATGAAGCCCTGTGCATTCTTGTGCCTTGATGACAAACGATAGAGCGTCTCCGCTTGGACCAACAGATTTACGGCATGAATAGGAGAAGCTCCGTGCAAGTTTGACATTCCAAGGCTAAATCCTCTCTGAATATTTCCAGTTACAGGAAGGCTGCTCCCTTCATTCCTGACCCGCTCAGCTCAGACGAGCCCTATATGGACTGACTGTCTGACCAGCTCCTCCAGGAATGCACCAGAGACTGCAGCCAATTAGTATTCATAGAATATGAGTGTAACATGTCCTGTTATCAGTTCCTATTTTAAGAGCTTCCTACATGATTATTAGAGTGATAAAAGCCAAATTCATCATGTAGAACTAATTCTTCTTGGATGACACAACTGCAAAACCCTGTGATAGCTCTGCAGTCATCAACACACAGATACAATATAATACACACGCTCTTACTTTGAAATGGAATCACACTCTTTTTCTTTGATGAACATTAGTTTCTCTGTTTTGGGGGCGGGGGGGGGGGGGTTGTTGTGTTTGTAGGTTTTGAAACCTACACTGACACTGTGTATTAAAAAACTTTCCCCATTACATGTATGATGGTGAACTTTTCACTTCATCAAATCAGTTTTTGCAAGGCCGCAGTTATCCCAGTTTCTGTCTGAACATGATTATAGGCTGATGGCACTGGTTTAAAGGTAACTGCTATACAAACTTGTATTTGTAACTCAAACACTTCACTTATATTTGAAAATGTAGTTAGATGGTGGATAATTATATATTAGAAGCACACTATGTGAGTATATTCAGTCAGTTGATACAAAAAGCACAAAAAAAGTATAATTTGTATAATTTAAGAAGTGTTACAATTTTAAAAAAACCTTGGTGACTAAATTCGCTTTGGTACTAACAATTGGTTTAGGCTAAAAAACTAATAACCACATAAAAGCATCTCTGAGTCCATCCTTTAACTTGCTACAGCATGGAGTGTATTGTAGGGCAATGAGGTATCTTTCTTGTGTTGGACTGTACAACATTTTCCCACATACTGAGACAATTTCTCACAATTTGACTGGTTCTAGTTTTTCTAAAAGCCGACTTGCATATAAAATTAACAGGTAACAGCAATTTCAAGTGTCATTAGGAGAAAATGTAGAATACATGACAGGAAGAAGACTTTAGGTCCACTGCACTTGCTTAGTGAAGGAGGTAGGAGTATCACAATCAAATGTTTAATGCCTCTCCTTACCCAGGTAGGATAATTTTCCTCATTGTTGAATGGACAGACACTAAGGAAGCAGTACACTCTAAAGGAAATATATCTTTGATTGTATGCATGTGCTTCACAAGATACAAAAAACAAGGTGCTCAGCATGTAGGAATGCAGAGGCAAAGTGTTATGGAGGGCAGTGATTTTCACTTTAAGGATTTACAATGCTTTGCAAATGTAAAAGTAGGCCAGGAACCAGACAGTTTATTAAAAACCTAGAAGTCAAAGAAGCTGTAATGTGGCCACTGCAAAATTAGGCCAGTCTAAAGAAAATAGAAAAATACAGGCAAGCATTGTTTTTGGATTTGAAGAGGCCACCAGTACATGACCAGTGGCCATGGCTTATTGGAAAGATGTAGATTGTAGATTTCCTGTGTTTAGGATCGTTGTCATGCTGCATGCAGGACAATGACAACTTGACCAAGTTTTACCTGTCATACAGATGGCCTTACATTTGATTCTACAATACTCTGGCATACAGAGGAGTTCATGGTTGACTCGATGAGTGCAAGGTTCCCAGGTCCTGTGTCTGCAAAATAAACCCAACTGACCATGCCACTGTGTTGACAGTTTGTATGAGGTGTTTGTGCTGATCTGTTGTGTTTGATTTTCACCAAACGTGGGAATGTGCATTATCCCCA